GAGCCGGTGCTTCTGCCCCATACCCAGAGCGCGCAGCCAAACACCAGAAGCGCAGTGGCGGCGGGCGCGTCCCGGTCCGACCTGCCGACAGCGGAGGCACCGCGACGCTTCTCGGCCCGACCGTCCATGTTGAGGGGAACGGCCGGGAGAGCTGCACACAGGCTGCGGAAGGCCCAGTGCCTGAAAACGCTGCAGGCTACAGTGCAGTGTAGGGGCGCTGGGGTTTTCAATGACGTTTCCTAACCTCACACTTGCAACCCAGCTCCGCAGGACACTGCCCAACATGCCAGTGCAGAGACCACCGCGAACCGCATGGACCGGGAGCCAAAGGAGCTGGAAAGTCGACTTCCGCTTTGTGCAGTGCGCAGCATGAGCATCTGTCTGCACTGTGCTGCGAACTCTGGGATGCACCAGCTCCCGGCAGGAAGGCGCGCGACCCTCTCAACCTGCAAACAGGCCAGGCAGAAATTAGGGTGAGAATAAAACTCACTTGTGCCGAGGTTCATGGGAAACCTGGAACGATGGTGATGATCGAGGAAAGCAAGGACAAGCGGAGGCCCTGCCCTGGGTATCCCGGTGCCCCGGACAGGGACAGGGCGTCTTGTCCCACGGTGCCCACTGTGTGACCTTGCACACGTGCACACACTCACGCACCTGCAACACGCACCCATCTTGACACAGGGGCCGGGACACGAGCGCCCTCAGTCTGCGCTCCGGGTCACCACACTCGCTCGCCCGTTCTGCTCTGGGCTGTGCAGTCCGTTTCCTTCTTTCTTTCTTTTTTTTTTTTCTGGTAGCGGGAATTGAACTCACGACATCGCGCTTGCAAGGCAGGCACTGTGCCGCTGAGCTAAATCCCCAGCGCCTGTGCAGTCGGTCCGTTTCGTTCTGAGTTCTCGGAGCTGCGTATGCTTCTAGAATAACTGCTCCAAAATACACCGCCAACTCCAACACCTTCACCTCTGACCATGCGCCCCTAAAACCCTGCCTGTGTCCTGCTCGCCTACAGGGTCCCGGTCACTGTGGCACTCACTCCTTTAAAATGTACACAGCTGTCATCCCTGCACTCGGGAGGCTCAGGCAGGAGGATCGCTCCCAGTTCAAGGCCAGCCTGGGCTGCGTATCTCTCTCTCTCTCTCTCTCTCTCTCTCTCTCTCTCTCACTCACTCACACACACACACACACACGATGGGATCTGGGTTTGCTAATCCCCTTGAGGGCCAAGCTCCAGGGATCGCAGCAAAGATGGCACAGATGTCGACTGACCCCTGCTTTTCCCCGGGGGTCACGGCACTCACAGCATCACCACCCACAGGCAGGGACCCCACATTGGCTGTCTCCCCCAGGGCAGCAGCCTGACTTCCTGCAGCCACAGGTGTCCTCAAGGTCACTCGCCAAGAGTGGGGACTCTACAAGCACCTGGGGAACCCACAGTGCCGCATCACACCGTCTCGGGGGCACTGGTGCAACGAGGGCTCAGGCCCGAAGGCCTTCGGGTCCCCGAGCCGCTGCAAAGCCGGGGACAGCACTGTCTCTGCCCCGGCAGCAGCGCCACGGGAGCTCGGCTAGACCTCAAGTGGGGCAGAAAGCAAGGGACAGGGGCGGTCTTGGGGCAGGTCCTTGCAGGCCACACTAGGCTCCTGGTCCCCATGGTCCCTATGACACCCCAACAGCCCCAAGGAATGTCACGTCCTGCCCGACCTCCCCAGGCGGGAGAGAGGCCGCAGAATAAGTGGCACGCAGTGCTGTACACAGTGGTCTCCTGTAAGACGAGTCCATAGACACAAAGGCCAACGCTGCAGGCTCGAGCCTGCAACTCCTGTTCACAGGAGTTGGAATGTCACACTGAGCACGCCCCTTATCCCAGCACTCCGAGGCTGAGGCAGGAGGATCACACTAAGTTCGAGGCCAGCCTGGGCTACACGGTGATACC